AAAAAAAAAAAAAAAAAAAAGAGCAGGGGGGTGGGGAGCCTCTGTGAGATGGAGACACCTGTCCAGAGCCCATCATCCATTTCTTTCACCCCACCCCCGCCCCCACAAGGAAGCCTCAGCCACTGGTTCCTCCTGGCAAACCTGGGATTCTGGAGTTTCTGGGGTGGGGGTTGAGTGAGGGGGGGGGTGTGGGGGATCCCCGTTTTTTCACTTGTTCCAGCCCTGGGCAAGGCACCCCTTTGGACAGAGCGTGGCTTGGGCACAGAAAGGATCCAGAATTACTCATTCAACAACACTTACATGTCAGGCACTTTGTACTGGGGTCTGGCCCGTCGGTGCCCGCCCTCACGGAACTTAATCTGGTAGAGACAGACGCGGATGAAATCACACAAATAAATAAACACGCGATGGCAACTATCAAGGTCTTGAAGGAAAGGAGCCCAGAGCTCTGAGTGGCAGGCATCCCAGGGAGTCATCCCTGGACCTGGGGGCCCAGTAAGCCTTCCCTGGATAGGCTGGCAGACGAGTGGGGAGACCTTAGGTAAGGGGTAGGTGACAGCGTGGGGGTTTGCAGTAAGAGTCACCACATATGCGCACGCTCTGGGGCAGGAGGGAGCATGGCAAGTGCTAGATGTCCAGGGAGCCCAGAGAAGGCCAGTGTGGCTGGGGCACAGGCAGCCAAGGCCGGCAGGCCGAAGAAGCCACATCAGGGGGTTTAGCCTTGTCCCTTAACGGCCAGGGAACCCGTTAGAGGGTCTGAAGCGGGGAGGGGCGCAATCAGGTCTGTGTTCGTAGGAGACCGCCGTAGTCACTCGGTGCAGCGGGTGCAGACAGGAGGGCTGCGGTACAAGTCGGCTGTGGCAGGTGCCCAAGTGAGAGAGGAGGAGAGCCTGGACCAGGTTGAAGGGGGGGTAGAACCAAAGAAAAGCATGGCTTCAAGAGGGAGGGTTTACAGGTGGATGTGGGAGTGTGGTGGTGAGAAGCAGTCATCCTATGACTCCTGCCCTTCTGGCTGACGGACTGGATGGTGCGACACCCTGGAAAGGAGGAGATTAGGCGAGGGCCCCGTGCACGGAAGGACATCCTGAGTTCAGTGCCCACTGCAAAT